AAATGATGACAGTTACAAGGAAACGTACTTGGAAAAAATGGCGGAGCCAAACCTTGAAAAAAAAAAACCTCCACCGGGAGATGAAGGACTTGCCGTTTCCCGAAATTAGGGGTATCTTTTGGGGGCGTCCTTATATTAGGGATTACCCCATATTAAGGTCTATAAGTTATGTTGGGGCCCGCTATTCTGGGAAACTACCTTATTCCGAATTGCACTAGTCGTTGGTGTTTTGTTATTCGCATGCTGGGTTGCGAAGCCCGGGCGGGGTGGGTTGCATGTGCTGGCCCTTCCTGGACATTTCCTGATAATAGACTTCAACTAAAATTGCGGATCATAACCCTGATGTGTGTATATACATAAGTAAATATACACACCCCCTATAAAGCATATGAACTTGGTTTTTTTGGGCCTTCGAACCTATCCCAGTTTCTGTCGATGCGTGAATGCCTGCATGACCCCAAGTAGACGAAAATTGAAAGAGGAACGTGACAATGTCCTTGGTCACTTTTTGTAATCGTGATAGCCACCACTGCAAATGGTTTTTGTCGACTCTGAGCAGTGGCTTCTCTCAGGGCCTGTGTCATGAAGCTGCTGTTGCTCTGGGCAGCTGCCGTGCAGCTCCACGTCAGCCATGCCGTAGAGCCCCCTTGCCCTCCGGGCTTGTTGGGATCTCCCAGGAGTGTTTGATGAGACGAGGCTTCCCCATGAGCGCAGACCTGGTGGGGCAACTGGAGCGTGAGCTCACTCTTTTGAGGGAGAAGCTCCATGACAAAGAGCTTCCGAGAAACCCGCCCAAGTCGCGACTGGAGGAACAAGCTGAGAGGGCCTGCAAAAGGAGGAAGCTCAAGCAACCTTCCAAAAAGTGCAAGTGCATGGCGTTGAGGCTTGTGACCAGGCCAACGATCGTATGATGATGTCTTGAAGGTGGAGACAAAAATGGTAATTGCTGCAAGGGCCGGTCATTTGCAGGTGGGGCATGGGCGCAGAATCGGGAGGCTTTGGCCAAAGCCTATCAGGCGGCAGCAACCCAAGACGCCCTTCTTCACAGGTGTGTTTATAGCTTTCTTCGGCTGCTCACTCTCTGCAATGAAGAAGCACAAGCGAGCGTTTGAGAAGCAGCGCAAGACGCAAAAGCTGCTTGTGGAGAACAAAAAGTCCTGGCTAAGTGTTCCTGCAAGGGTGAGCGCTGATCGGCTCGTGGCACAACTGCGCCAGGGTGGCTGCTTGATGGGCGGCAACGGGCTCAGCCGGCACTACGCCGCAAAGGCGTTGTCTGGCTCTCTTTCAGAGGAGCTTGAGGCCTCTACGCACGTGACCGTGAACTACAAAAAACGGCCTGGCAAGTCCAGTGGGTGTTCTGGTGTGGCGGCATCTGGCCATGGGTGCCGAAATCCTGGCAGCTTCTGCTTTGCCGGGTCACGGCGTCACAAAGGCCGAGATTGAAGTTACCCTGAACGCTTCTTCTGCTTCCGCAGTGGAAGCTCCTGCATTGCGAGCCCAAACCCGGGTAGCTCCAGAAGACGCCAAGAAGAACTTTTTGGCCAGGGTTCTGTTGCAACAGCGACGCGCGTCAGAGGACGCTTGACAGCAACGTCACGGAGGATCAGATGGAGATTGACGCGCAACTTCTCGAGTTCGACACTCTCTTGGACCTCGGGCAGTTTGGCAGCGCGGGGGCATCCAGCGCAGTGGCCAGTGGCACCACGGTAGTTTTCCTGATCCATGGGATTCAGGAGATATGTCTGGTGACCTATGATAGGCAGAGCAAACGTCAGGCCACTTGAGCAGAACACGTTAGTTCCCATGCGTAGAGACCACTTGGATCACCTCAGAAAGCAGGCAATGCCTGTCTTCTCCTCTGACAGCTCCACCATACCTTCGAGGTCGCGCGTTTGATGTCAAACGAGCTTATGCAAAATTGGTCCCAGGGCTTTGCCAAAACTGGGGGTACCTTTTTGTGGTTCCGTATAGTAAGGATTCGAGTACTTGGAGGGCTTATACTGGGTCAATTGTATAGGGTATATATTGGAGGGATAACGGAAAAGAAAATGGAAACTACTATTTAGGGTTTAGCGTTTAGGTTTAGGGTATAAACTCCTGAAAGGTCCTGACAGAGTATATACTGGGAGTATATAGGGTGCTGCAGGGCCAAGGTATATACTATATACCTGCTACCCTTGTATGTGAGTGTAACTTTCAGCCCTCCCCGGATTGACATTTTGTTGGCGTGGCGCTTTCCCACCCGTAGTCTCTGTGAAAGGCGTCTCGCGGGCGGTCAACAGTCAGAAGTGCATCCGTGCTGGCGGAAAGCACAATGACTTGGCTGCTTGCCACCAAGTATAAGGAAGTGCTGGCCGCAATCAGAAGAGCAAGTAGACTAGTAGAGAATGCCATGCGAACATCAGGAACATTTGACAAGTGCAACGTTGCGCACCCATTGGTTGTAGAGAAGGGTTAATCCAAGTTTTAAAGCAGTAGGTAGATGCCTCTGGTCTCACATGGCAGAGGGTTGCTCAACTGCAATTGATTGTAATTTCCGCCAAACCTCCGTGGTCAGACGGTGGATTGGGGAAAATCTTGCACCACTTCGGACAGCCCTATATTGTAACTCCTAGGGTACACGACATCGACATATGATGTGGTGCAAGATTTTTCCAAACCCCATTTCCTTCGCGCCACAACCCTAAACCCTAAATAGTAGTTTCCATTTTATTTTCCATTATCCCCATATAGCCCCCATATACCCCCATATAACCCTAATAGTACCCCAATATAACCCTAATATAACCCCATATAAAAACCCTAAACCCTAAGCCCTAGCGCGGAAGTGAGGATGACGTTGGCAAAGACGTCTACCACCACACATTCTTTGAGATGCTGGGTAACTGGTTGCTTCCCTTGCACTGAGGGTTTTAGGGGTTTGAGGGTTTGAGGGCTTTGGGAGTTTTAGGGTTTGAGGCTTTTAGGGTTTTTGGGTTTAGAGTTTTAGGGTTTAGAGTTTACCTTGCATCAAGGAGCCCAGATGCGGAAGACTCCGCTGGCGCCAGGACTAATCACCTCCCGCCAATGTTGAACCCTTCTTGTTTTAAACAGTCCCTGTATATCACAATGGGAATAGTGTAGGGGAAGGGGGTTAGTTGATAGCATACCGAGCCCCCATCCACGTCATTGACCATGATTCTCATGAAATATCATAAGAAAGGTGAGAGAGAAATGGTATTCATATGTCATCTTCACTGCTACTAGTGCAAGCATCCACCACTGGCGAAGTATCTTCTTGTTTCAAGTAGCGGCACTACACCTCACCAAATCCCAATTTTGCTATGATGACTGAAGTGGGTGCGACGTTTTGCGGGGATTATTTCCAAAGAGGAGGCCAACCCTAAACTTAGTGGTTGTAAGTACGGAGTAAGGGAATATAATCCCTGTATATTCCTTCCTAACCACCAGTAAGCCGAGGAGTTTCGGGGATTATTTCAAAGAGGAGGCCATCGACTGGGCTTGGGAGCTCCTCACGGAGGCAGCGTGCGTTGAACTTCGGCCTGTCACAGGGCTGGTTATGTAGGGAGAAGGGTATATACCGGGGTTATATTGGGGTAATGGAAAAGAAAATGGAAGCTACTATAGGGTAATATAGGGTATATTGGGATTATATGGGGTGATGGAGAAGAAAATGGAAACTACAGGGGTTATATAGGGTCAGCCCTTGTCCGCACGTAAAGAGCCGTTGCGAGTCTTTTTTGAGGCAAATAGTATAAACCGCCGAGAGAGCTACTGAAATGCAAAAATGGGGACCAACTGACCTTTACTTGGCTTTAAGTCAGTTTTTGCAGCTGTGGGCTGGCTTCTTTTTTGCGTGTGTGTATTTGTCCGTTTCTCTCTTGGAGAAAGCTAACTTGCCGGTTCCGCGAAACCTGGCCCCAAGTGCACCAGACATGGAGACAGGGAAAGCAAAACAAAGCTGCCAGGAAATCCAAACAAAGCTACAAACAATTAAATGCAGCTCAAGGAGAACTTGCCATATGACAACAACAAATGCAATGGCGCTATTGATTAGCTTTTACCCTCAGCCCTAGACCCTAAACATCAAGTCAGGCCACGTCTTGGCATCGAAAGTCCCAATCACAGGGACGTGTTGCCAGATACATGAAAGTTTAGCATTTAAGGTTTAGGGACTGGACCTCGATATAGTACCCCCCTAACTTTGGGAAACCCCCACATGTCAGGGTGTCAGCTTTCACAGGCATGTAGCAGAACAGTTCCCTTTGGCATGTCTCGTTTTGATTTATAGCCAGCCAGGTCTATGGCCTTGATCCCAACCGTCTCTATGCCAGCTACTTCAGTGGTGACGAGGAGTTCTCTAGCTGCAGAAGGAGCTAGGACAGGGTGACCTACTGGTACCTGCACAAGGTAGTTTGCCTAAATAGGGGGACCCTAATGTAGACTCCAATATACTATAACCTTTATTATAGGGACCCTCGCAAAGGTACCCATAATTCTGGGAAATTGCCACAACACTCCTTTAATCAAGACCTGGCTTAATTTAAGTTACCATTTTATCGGTATATTGTAGATTACAGGGTTTCCTCATTATAGTAACTTAACTTAAGGCCCTCAGCAGCAACCCAGTAACTGCATCATCTGCTCTTGACTTTACTCTTGCTCGTCTCAAAACGACTCCTTCTCTATGGGAAACCCAATCACCACACGTCTACTGCCACTGCTTCTCTACCGGTAGACAATAAGCACTGGACCCAATATATCGCTACAAGTACCCATACGCCCTTATGTATCCTTTTAACCCCCCTGTATGTACCTATACCCACCCCACATGTTTTCTGATCGTCATGATTGCAAATGCGCAATTACTGCCCGCCCTGGCCTGCTTGCCACCACTTCTTTCAGAAAAGAAGGGATATGTAGGGTTATTTAGGAATAAGTAGGTATATATTGTCCCAATAATGTAGAACCACAGGGAAAAGAACATGGACAAATCAATGGTAACTAGGGTGACGTAGGAATTAACTCGCCCTAGTTTTAGATCTCAGTGGCCCACAGATCTACCTAAATTGGTTGCGGGGATACTTTATTCTTGTACATCCCCCTAGCGGCTCGCCCCCCTGGCTCTAGCAAAGCATGCAAAACTTTGGATGCGGCAATGGTTGAGGGAATGCACGTGGCTATGTATAGTTGGTGTAGCTTTTCTTGGTTGTATATCCTTATAAAACCCTATATATCCCTGTAAACCTCTTTCAAGAGGTCCCCTTAATTTCATGGTTGAGCCTTCATCCGGAGCAGCTTTACACATTCGAGGCTGGGCTTGCCCCCAGATCTGGAGGCCAAGGAGCGAAAGTAAGGTTTAGGGCTTAGGGTTTATAGGGGTGGGGTGTGGGGTCTAGGGTTTAGGGGTTTAGGGCTTAGGGTTTAGGGTTTGGGGCTTCGGGTTTAGGGTGTAGGGGTTCAGGGTTTAGGGCTGGTAGGGGTTGGGTGTGGGGTTTAAGGTTTAGGGGTTTAGGGTTTAGGATGTAGGGTTCATTACCTTTGGCACCTTCGAGCTCGAAATTTTGAAGTTTTGAGATTAAGGAATATTCAGAACCCAAAATGGTGCTAGGGTTTGGGGTTTAGGTTTAGTCTGGAAGGTAGAGTACTGGTTCTTAATAGGGAATAAGGGAATATATTATACGTATATATATATATGTAT